GTCTTTGGCGGGGCTGAACGCCACCTGCGAGAGAAGCCTTTCCCCACCAGCGCGGGCAAGGGATCCCTGCCTTACTGTGGTGCCTCAGCCCGGTAACCAAAGAGACCGCAGAGACCAGAGGCAGCCATGGTGGCAGCGGGGAGAAGCCACGGCCTGTGCCTCCTCCCAGGTGGGGCCAAGGGTGTGCAAGCACCCACACGGCAGTGGCAAAGGCTGCAGCCCGACGCATCTCCAAGGAGGTGTCTCAGCGGGGCAGACTGGAGCACTGTTGCTTTCACCTCTGTGTTTGGAGGAGTGTTTGAGCACCGGAGAAAGGCCAGCGCTTTTCACAGCGCACAGCTAGCAAGCACGGTTAACTTGGTCCTTGTTTTCCCCTGTACTGTGTGTATCGTTATTTTTATTAATCAGGAAAGAAAGAGCCATCTCAGCTTGCCTCGGAGCAGTTTAACTTTTGAATTATAACATGTTGTCTCACTTTGCACATGCAAGCCTTTAGAAAGGGTGACCTCTGGGCATGGATGCTGCCACAGCATCTGTCTGTGCGTGGGAACCCTAACGGGTGCTGGGGCCAAGATGTCTCTGCAGGAGGAGGAAGGTCCCTTAGCTCCGCTGAGCTGGAGTTTGCTCTTGACTCCCTTTGCAGGATCAGAGTGGAAGGGTGTGATTTACCTGTCTTAAAGATGAAAGAGAAAAATTGGCTTAAATTACTTTAATCAGGGTCTTATTAAGAAACTTACCTTAATCATCATCATCTTAAGAAAACTATTAACCTTTGTCAGTGCTTGCTCTTACTAAAGAAACACTCTGGAGTATGGGCAAACTGAAATTAGAGATTGCAGTGCAGGGATACCTGGACCAGGTTGCAAAAGCTCTTTGGGGTAGAAAGCACCCATAGTGAGACCTAGCAGGATAAGGTCATAACGTTAAGCACCGTAACGACACTAAGGGCCTGTGTATCCTGCAGCCTGAAAGTGCAGACGTACTCAGGTCTGGCTTTCCTCTGCTTAGCTTGGTTAGTGGCGTGTGCGCAGCCCACGAGAGGTGAAGCCAAAGCAATGTATCCTGCCTCTTGGGTAAACTGTCTTCCACAGATGGGCTGCTTCCAGGATACAGGCTCAAAGCTGAATCAGCTATAGCTAGACTTCTCCTAATGTAGGGTATGCATCTGATAGGAATGGTGATCCCATGGTGCCTACCCTGCCAACGACAGCCACAGTTCCCCCAGGTGCATGCGTGACAGGGAGTGGGCCTGATCCTGGTGGCCAGCATCCGGTAACTATCTGCATCGTCTTTTGTTACATTTAGGAAAAAGGCTCCTTTTCAGAAGAGGACTTAAGCTCACACTTCAGACTTGTGGAGAGAATATTTTATTTCAAGAGCCAGATTTTCAGCATGTGTAGACCATTGTAGCTCCATCCATTTCAAGGGGATCCAGCTCCTGACGGTTTGACTTAAGCTCTGAAAGCATTGGCAGTCTTGCTCTCTTGGCACGTCAGTATGCTGCTTCTGAGAGATGCCTGTGGTTCACGTGTACATGTATAAATGTGTATTTTGTACGTTCCCTAGCTGTGCTAAAACCAAAGCGCACCTGTCACACATTTGTGCTGAGACATTGTGTGTCGTGTGTGTTCAGCTCCCAGTCGCATGAATCTGTGCATGCCGCTCTGATTTAGCTGTTTGGTACTCTGACTTTGGGAGAAACACAAAATCGCTACGTGGAGTTGCACTTCTCTCTCACATGCGAGTGCTTTTGCCTCCTGCTTCCTCTCCAAGGGCACACGCGCACGCCGCCAGTCGGTCAAGCGCCAGGGAGGGCTCTGTACCCATGTGTGTGTTTTGAGAGCTCGTGGATGCACAGCTGTGCCGTGCTCAGAAGCTAATTCATTTCTTATAAGGCTATGGGCAGAAGGCGTTAAGTCTGCATAAGATGCTGGCATGGGGCTCCTCAAACGGTGCTGAGCTACACCTATTTCTGTTAACAAAGCAAGGCCAAGGTACAGACCGGGCCACTGGCCTCTGGTCATTCATTGCTGTTTAATTCTTAGCAAACTCCTCGTAAAATTGTGGTTCAGGCCAGCTAACCCAGCTGGGGAAGAACACATGCCAGGGAGCATACCCGGGCAGGGTGTCAAACAGCCTCCACTTGGCTTCATTCCCCCTGCTGCCATCCCAGGGGCTTTGCACCCTTACGTACCCCCATGCCTTCATGTTGCGCCCCTGGAAACTCAAGCTGTACTCTCAGTTTCACAGACTAAAAACATCCCAATGGTGCAGGATGGCCTTTGTGTTATTTCCCACAATCTGGGGGAAGAAAGCACGACAAAGTATCTGAAGGCCATAAAAACATACAAAAATGTCTTAGGGTCAATGGGACATGAGCTGGACCTGGAGAAGATGTGTGGCCAAAAGAGTGAACCTGCCCAGGCAGTTCCTGCCCCTGTTTTATGTAGCAGTGTGGATGTCACTAAACTGTCCTACTTTGGACCGTTTGTACCAGCCATAGTTTTGTTCTATAATCAATGCCAGGCTAATTTTTATCCTTTTAAAAAAATTATTTTTATTTTTTATAAAGGGCAAATGTAGCCCTTTCTGGTGCTGTATTGTGTACTGGCTTTAAAATGTTTTCTGTCTTCTGTACCTGAAAGTATTTGTATGCTTGCTAGGAATTAACTATGTGATTCATTTAGCAATGTTGTCTGCAGTGGCAGCATGGTTTTGCTGTTTACAGTTATTAAAATGAAGGACCATCAACAACATTAGACACAGAGCATCTGAACTGCATAGTATTTATACAGAGACTTTAATTTTAAGGCTCTTCTACTCTTCTTGTGAACCAATTTGATTTTTTGAATGCTACAGACACATTTTTAAACAAAGGCTGTCCTTTTTCCTGTGGGGAGGGAATTTTATAACTGGGGAGCCACCAGTGTTGAGGGGTCCCTTTGGATGAAATGTCCTCTGATAATAGCTGTGCTATTTCTGAACATGATCCCTGCGCTATTGCATTTCTTACACAAAATCAAGACTGATTTGAAGGGTGGAGTTGACCATAAACCAAGCTGATTTTAAACTGCGTGGGGTGATGGGAGAGAAATTGGTTTCTTTTTTTTTAAATACAGGAGGTGATTTCTCTCTGGGTGGGCAGCTCTGCTTCCCAGTGACCTGTGCTCATGAGACCATAAGGCAAGAGGCTGAAGCCCTGGTCTGGTTTTCCAAGAGATATGTGGATGAAGGTATTTAGGGATTTTTAAGACGGGATTTTCAAGCCCATGGGATTTAGATACCAAGTGCTCATCAATGCAGAGAGGGAATAGACATCCGTGTGTCCTCAGCAGCTCTGGAAATCTCTGTCTCTGTGGCAGCCCATTTTAGACCAGATGGCAAAGAGGGGGAGAGAGAGCATCTTGCCCGCATACTGTGTAGAGCCTGGAGCAAGATGCCGCACCGTGGTGGATGACCAGAGGCTTCCCTGGTACCCTCAATGAGGCTCACGTTTGTTCACCCCCTGGCTGGACTTTCTGGTGGATCTTGCTGACCCGATAGGGGTACTGCGTATGAGTGTGAAGCCTCATACGCAGTGTGAGGAGGAAAAAAAAAATCAGGAGCAGCCCCCTGCCCTTAGGAAAATGGCCTCCTTCCTGGTGCCTGGGACGAGCCGCCCTGCTTGCTCGCTCTGCCATGCGTTGATGCTTCCCAGTGTTTGGGGTGAGCTGGCCCAGGTCCATGAAGCAGGATGGCCATGTCCATGCAGGGGTCTGCCTGCGGTAACCTGCCCTCTCCCTGAGGGTAGATTAAAGCAGGAGAAGTGTTGGGTTGAGGAGGTTAAACTGCTCGAGGCTGAGCAAAGCAGTGAGCCCCCTTGGCAGGAGACTCATCCCATCCATGTTGCACGCCCTGGTGAGGCCGGGATGCATCGGCTCTGGAGCTGCGACTGCAGAGGGATGCCGTACCTGACATCCCATTTACAGGGCATTCCAAATTTGTGGGTATCCAAAGGCAGGTGAGATGAATCCTGCCCAGGGGACCGTTTCCGAAAAGTCAGCATCCTTGTTTGCGCAGCATTTTTTGAATGGATGTAGACCAGAAGACTAGAGACAGGTCTAGATTAATTCACTAGTGCAGCCCACGTAATCTATGCAGCACTTTAATCTATTCCCTGTGCATACAATCCGAGATCTTTTGAAACAAAGCAAGCTGCTTCTGAAGCACTTGCTTTCAAAAACCTCCATTAAAAATTCACTGCTAATTGCACATAATTAACAGAGATTGGAGGAACAGGTGCAAGATCCACTGGAGTCACTAGCAGTCTGTTGTTGTCTTGAATCTTTCAGTCATTTTAAAATCAAATGTGTAACTCTCTTTGATGTAAACTGGTTGAGAGGATACTATAGGTAGAACTGTTAGCAAAGGGAGGTTTACTTATTTGGTTTGAGATTTTTACAGCTCAGCAAGTAAACAAATGAAATGTGCTATTTCTGTTTGATCTACTAATTGCAGTTTTCAGCCCCTTGCAATTCGGTGACTGAAAGAGCAGTAAGGCCAGGGCAGATTTCCACACACAGCTATTATTAGGAAAGGCATTGATAGTGTAGAGGTAAATAATTGGGGTGGAAGATAATAAATGCATACTACATACAACAGACAATATATACTACATATATTTTATAACCATTAGACATCTGCATTTCTATGGGAGGTATACATGGTTTCTAGGTAGGTATATCCTTGTTTATTTGGACATATGTCTACATACACAATCAGAGTTGCACTCAAGAGTGTCAGTACCTCAGTACTTCTTACCTTTTAAAAACTGTTACGCATGACACATCCTCTAGGATGGAGCTTGACAGTGATAATTGTGTGGTTGGCTTGATGGTACTTGATAAAATCATGAGTATGGAGGAGAGTAAGGTGCTTACGCAATGCTTAAGTTAATCTCATGCCTTCCCAGCAAGCCAAGCAGAACGCTAAGGAGCTATTCCCAAAAGAGGAAGGAAAAGATGCAGTTCAAGATGGGAAGCGTCCTGCTGTCTCTTCTTTTCTGGTACAAAGGTACGCACTTTGCCTCCTGAGAGGCACTTTCAAATGTCCCTCTTTGTATTTCTTGTTTCATGCACACTTCTTTCTTCTGCCAGGGACTGTGGGGTACAGAGCAAGCTCTTATCTACGTTCTCATGGAAGCATAATAATTCAGGGAAAGGCAAAATTGTGGAGGAGATGTGTGGTTTATGTACATGAGTGAGCAGCGTTCTTCCAGCTCTATGAATATTCAGTAGTAAAACTCTGTTTCACAAAATAATTGCAGTGTGAAAAAATTGCCATATAATTTGTCAAAATATGAATTTGCAAAGAAAATTGTAGTGCAGCTGAGCCAGTGAGTAAATAATAATGCTGATTTGAAAAATGAGGTACAGTATAACATGAAAGACTGGTCCTTCATTAATCAAAACTCTTGATTAATCAAAACCTGATCATTTTCTCTAGCAGCAAGACATTGCTGATGGAGATCTGCCTTTTTTTAAAGGCTCTTTCAGGTATTTTGGCCTGGAAAAGACTTCCAAAGGCACTTTAAGAACAAAAAGCAATCGTAAGTCAAGAAAATGGGAAAAGTATTTATCAATTTTGAGGCTTTCTCAAATTTACTTTTCAGAAAAGTAGCAATGATAACAGGCAAGCAGGAGCTAGAAGAAGCCAGAAAATTCAGGGTCACGGTCTCCTTCCATTTTAATTAACCCAGCTGTGGAATGAGGAGATCATTTTCTGGGTTGTGTTTGAACTTCTGGCTTCATCGAAGCCAATGGCAAAGCTGCTATTATCTTAAACAAGGCTGAGGTTGCTCTTGCTAAGTGCTGGGCAGTATCTACCAATATTACCAGGTGAATAGAGTACGATCTGTTGGAGTGTGGGACAATTTATCTGTCCCACAGATAAAACTGTCTGATTTATCAGACAGTCCAGCTTTTCCCCCATGGATGTTGAATTCTCAGTGTTTTGCTTCGTCTAGTTTTTTCTATCCTTCTCTGTTTCCACTGAATATTTTGGTCTACCAAATTTCATGGATAGAAAAGTGTTCCTCAACTAGCCATGCTTTCATTTCATCCTGTTATGCTTGACCATACCCCGCTCTGTCTAATTAATAGGTCTTCCTCTTAATCTTCCAGCAAATATTTGTGCGTTCCCCTCATACCTTGTCTCTTCACTCTCCTTTGTTTCACATGGGAAGGTTACTGGTGCCTGAGCTTCTTGGAAGGCTGTTTTTACCCGGACTCCAGCATTTTTTTCCCGATGGGTGGCATAACCGCAATTAGTCCTTGGAATGAGTTCATACCTTGCTCTGAATCCCAGACACAGCTTGCTTTTAATAGACACCCACACATCAGGATATTTTCAGAGAGCCTGCAGTGAAAAATTACTTGCAGGATCACTTTCCAGGCATCACTCCTTCGGTTTTTAGTTTATTTTCTTAATTTGCTGGTTTTCTTAATTTACTGTTTTTCTCTGCTTCGTGGTCCAAGTGTCCTCTTCTGGATAAAGAGCGAGCAGCGACCCTTTGCCCAGGTTCCCCTCACACTCCTGCCTCTGCCACCACGGTGAAGGTGCCGCTAGGTCAGTCCTCTGAGCCACGGGCACTGATGCCATGATAAGCTCCTTAGCTTATTTTCTCCTGCAGAGCAAGTGGCTTAGAGGAGCACCCCCAGCCCCCACGCCTTGGCTGGGCTTGTGTTTGCCGGGGACACCACCGCAGCAGCAGCAGCATATGGTGCAGCAGGCAGGCTTCTGCGACGAGAGCCGCAGCAGCTGCCGGGCCCCCTCCATATGGTGAGGGGGAGCACCCCGAGCCCTGGATTGACATGAATATGCTTTTAGCACATTGAATGTGACGTGCCCGCGATGCATTACTCCATCCGTGCTCACTACACGTCGGGGAATAAGCACATCTCAGCAGTTTAAAAGAGTGGATTTCTTTTTCTCCCTCTGTTTTTTTCAGCTTTGAAAAAAAACCAAAATCAAAGGCCCAAACCCACCTCTGGATCACAGTAAATAACATCTTTAGTGCCGCCCTTTGGCATAATCGATACATCTAATGAAATTACTATGCAGGCAATGTTCTGCAGAGCTCTGAGCAGGAAGGAACAAACATGTCAATAAGATCAGAAATTGCCAAAAATTTTCAAAGGAACACTTTGGAAAAAAAGATAATTACACATCTCTGAAGAAGAAAAGGGGAAAAGGTTGATTTTTTCCAAATTATTTATGTTTTTTTCAAATATTTTCACAACATAAAAAAATTTTGTAGAAAAATTATGGAGACGGCAGGTGTAAAAGAGAAATGAATATGCATTAGATAGGTATATTTGTCATTATTTAAGTATGTTTTTTCTCACTTTCAGATAAATACCAGTAAATATTAAATGAGACACAATACAAATGAATGAAAATGGAAACCAAATAAAAATCATTCAAATGAAAAAAATGAAATGGAAATGAAAATAATAAAACCATGAAAAATCCCCACAAAATGAATGATGAAAATAGCAGCCATGTTAAAGCACGAGAGAGGAGCTTAACAGAAAGTATGAGACCTTCTCCCCTCCACAGGCTGATGCTGGTGCTGGTCCTCTTGCCTTCAGTCTCTGGCTCTGGCCGTGCCTGTCAGTGATCAGCAGAGATGAGTCCTCCCAGGCTGATGTGTGCCGGGGTGGCGGTGCCCTCCTGGGGGGTGCCAGGGCCAGAATATCCCCTACAGGGGAAACAGGCTGAGCATTTGGCCCAGCGCAGCTTTAGGTGGTGAGAGCCCCTGGATGAATGCCCTGCTTTCACCAGGCCAGCCTAGCTCCCAAAATCTTTTGGTGGACACAGATCTGTGTATGCCCTGGGGGTATCTGTCTGCCAGCATAGCTCCCAAGGACCATTTAAAGCCTGCACTTTTTAGAAATAAAGGCACTGTTTGCACGACATGGTCCCCGCAGAGCCTGCTTAGCATGGCCACAGAAAAAGCCCTGGGGGAAAAACAAAAAAAGCAACCACGAAGCGACCGGGCGAGGGGGCTATGCCTGCCAAGGGGACCTGGGGACCAGCCATGGCTGCAGCAGGGCTCCCTGGGACCATCGCCACTGGCGCAGGGGCAAGGAGAGATGGGAAAAACGCCATGGGCGACAGTGGCCTGGGATGTGGCAGCTTCCCCAAATGCACTTTGCTACCGAGGCTGGTGCAGCCTGATGTGAGTCACCTCACTCGCCTGGCACGATTTCCAGCGCTGGGATGTAAAAATAGCCTAGGTTAATAATGTAGCAACCCACAAGCTAGCACCTGATGGGCACAGAGGTACCGCAATGCTTTTTTCAGTGTCTCATCCCTCTGTGTTGCTTTACAGGCTGCCTCACCTAACTCTGCTTCTGGATGCTCTCTAATGTGGCACTCAAGGAAAACAGGGACTTGCAATGGTTTGCCTTTCAGAAAACGTGACAAAACCAGTGCCATTCATTCCAGTCACTTCTTTCATTTCTGTGACAGCTTTTCTGGGGCTCCAGTCACATTTTTCTGTTTTTTAAGCTGTTTTCCTTTCCCCTGCCCCATGGCCCACACGTGCAGAAGGGAAGCAGGTGACTAGCTATGCAGCAGGAGCCACCATGCTGGGAAAGCGCTGCATCATGGAGGGAGTGCTCTCCACTGAGAGAAGCGAAGAGAAAATAATTTTGCTCGTCTCTCTGAGCTCTGTTAAACGGAGATGTTGCTTACAGAGATCAAAGGCAAAATTAACTCTTTTCCAGCTGAAGCTTCTAGGTCACCTAAATCAACAAATAAACATCTAAAGTCAATTAACAAAGTTATTAACATTTTCCACATACTTTGCCTGCAATGACCAGGTTTATGTGAACTTATTCCAGTAAATTGAGTGACTGACATTTATTCTGTGTTATATTTTATTTCTCTGTTTTGTTTTATTTTATAATGTGCTTTCTCACGCTTGTACATCTGTCATTAATTCTATCCACACTAAAAAAAAGATGGCTTGCTGTTGTGGCTCTACAGTCAGGATATTCAATATGATTTCTCAGAGTTGACCTTATCAAAATGTGCCCAGCCTTTGGCGGTGTTAATTCTGCCCACACTTACCTTCCTCCTTTCTTTCTCTTGTTCAACCACGTTCTTAATGACCACAAACTTTCTGAGACATGTAGTTACCTGTTCCTGTCATTACAATGCCAGCAGCTGAGCCTCCTTGCTACCACTTGCCCCTTCCTTTCCCCAGGTAGCCCAAGTTGTGGCTGCTGCTTTATCCCACCTCCACCTCGGGAAACCCATGTCCTCCCGGCTTCCCAGGACTGCCTCTACCAGCTCTTTTCCTCCTCCTCCAAATCTGGGACAGTCCCTGGGATTTCTCTCCCTTCCATCCTGCCCAGTGGTGGGTGCCTAGCGGGGCCGCCCCGGGGTCCGTGCTCCAGCCCGGCCTCACTGGGATGGGTGCTCCGGCACAAAATCATCCCCTGATGCTTGCCCAAGCCCCAGTCCCCAAATCCTGTGCTACAGGGTGACATTTGTGGATGGCAGTGCATTGGATGCGCCATGCTTCAGGGCAGGATGGAGGGACAGGAAAGGCGCATGCCGTATCTCCCTGCCTCTCACAAACACGCACAGATAATAATTTACTTCACTGAACTGATGGTTTGCTGAATGTCCTGGGGCACTGTGGGGGCTGTAAATAGGGCTCTTTCCTTCTTAACATTTTGGGGTTTTTTTCAGTCCTATACTTTTAACACAACAGCCCCTGGCGGCTGTGCAGGACTTATGACTCCCACGAATTGCAGCAATTCGTTCTGTCTGACCTACAACTACCAATTATCTTTGTAACCTTCCTTGAAGGCAAACACACTCACTGTAAAAGCATGCTGGCCATCACATTTTTAGACTATTGGCAGCCAGCTTTCCTCTTCATTTCCTTTGTAGGACAGGGCTCATCACAGCTGTAAACACACCAATATATCAATTACTACTTTTTCCGGCCGACTGCAGGCAAGGGCATCTTTTCCTCTCCTTTCCTCTCCCGATGCCAGGGGTTATCAGGCCACGCTGCCCAGGCAGGATGTTTGGCCCATCCGCTGCCATGCTTACCCCAAGCCAAGCCTGCCGGCTCCCCTGTGCCGCAGGCTGCGGCTGCCAGCGGTTGGATGGCTGAGCTGCTCATGGGAGCGAGCCCTTAGCAGTTAACCTCTTATAGCTCAAAAAGGCATAGTTGACCTCCTATTTGAGATGCCAGCGAGCCATGCGGCGAGGTGTGGAGGCCCCCAGCCCATTGGGGACAGCCAGAGGGGCGGCAGGCTGGCACCCCTGCCTTGGCACTGCCTTTGCACCACTGTGTGTCGCAGGGCTGACCCAATAACACATTGCACTGAAAAAAGGGCTTTTGTGCTTGAAATTCACACCCTTGCTTGATTTGCAGTGATGTCCCCTGGCTGACAAGCCTAAAAACCCTGAAAGCCGCTTTTGTAGCTCAGGAGCAGGCATCACTGGCAGGGTGCAGCTACCCAAGCAACGTCAGGGCGGCCAGGGTAGGAGGGTTTATTCCTGGTGGTTGAGTGGGTGCTACCGTACACCCACCCACCTGAAAACTGTTCCTTTTTTTTTCTGTTGTTTCACTCACAGCCATTGGGTTTCCAGCTGCATCTGTCAATGAGGTGCCAAATTTTGATCTTGGCTCTCAAACACCCGGCAGGGACTCAGGAGGCCTGCTGAAGGGCTCAGCATGGACCCAAAGTAATACCCCTATATCAGCCTGGTAATTCACACCCCCTTTCCCCACTGCAGGCACATGGTGCACAAAAGTAGGCTTCACCACAATACAGTCTTCCTCATGCTGGGCAAATGTACCTGACACACATGTAAGTGGGCTGCTGGTATGCAGTGGAAGAGAAAAGAGAAATATTTTATTCCTATGCAAAGTATATTAATTTGCTAGTTTGTTTACCAGGTTTTCTCTGTAGCCACTAAAGTCCCCCTGCAGCACCTTGGGTGCTCCAGGGGAGCCAAGGCAAGTATTTATGCAAAAAGATGCAGGCACCTTTGCTTTCACCTCTGTATGGCTCCACTTACTTGTCAGGTCATTGCCAGGCCAAAGTGCATTTAACCGCTGGGAGGAAAACACAAAATGACCCACAAAAGGTTTTCCACAAAAATCAGTCTTCCAAAGGTGAAAATAAAGAGGTTAAGAAATATGTAGCGAGCACACATCTCTAAATGAAACTTGAACACCTGCGGATTGGAGGAGCTGAGGCTGCAGCCCCGTGAGCTCAGACCTGGGCTGTGGGGACGCGTGACAGGCACCCATCCTGCCACGAAAGGCCAACCCCCGTGCCATGGGGCGGGGGGGCAGGGGCGGCTCCCCCCGGCCCAGCTCCCATGCCCCCGCTGCCAGTGCCGCTCCAGCATTGGCATCAAAGAAAGCATCAAGCGAGCTGGAGATGCGCTGCATTGCTTTTATTGGCAAAGGCAATACAGTTTTGATAGTTGATAATGTCTTGGTTTGTAGCGTATTGATCTGATGACAGGCAGCTTTAACTTAAACCACCCTCGTGCTGTGTGGCACAGCAGAGAGGTGGCAATGCACTGCGTGGCCTTGGGCTTGCACCTCCGCCTTGGTTTTGTTGTTGCACAAGAAGTCACGGGACTTGGCTGGGTGACATCTCTGTTGGGAAAGGTGGAGCACAGTGTTGCACATGGCCCCCAGCCTACGCTTTCCAGGAGGCCAGATCTGGAGACGTGCACCCATGTTTTCCTGCTTCTGGGTGCCCTCCTGCCTCCCTCTTGGGCCTGACTAAAAGCCACATATTTTTATTGTAGCCCGACGTTTACCTCTTCTGCCAGGACCGATGCCTTGGGTTAATGCAGTAAGTTCCTGATGCCAGAAATAATGGCCTGGGACACTGAAGCAAAGGAGACCATCTCCACATTAAAGAAAGGATTTTTTTTCTTTATTTCTTGATCATTTTGTTCTTTGCTGGGGTCTTTCTTTCAGACTCTTGATACATTCAGGCACCATGTCACACCCAGGGAGCAGTTGCATTTGAGTAATAAATGGAACTTTGTATATAGTTTATATTTCAGCTGATTATAATTGCACAGTGTTTGTGAGTCTTTTGAGATGAAACTTGCTATAGAAATGTGGGATGTAAATTCCCAGCATTAGTTGGAGCTTCCTAGGCTCAGCAAAGTGACAGTGTATGAATGAATAAATCATAACTAGATTTCAGTGAATAATTCAGAGTCTAATTCATTTGGTGAAAAGATCCTCTTTTCCTATCCAGAAAACCTCTGTTTGGAGATGGCGGGTTTCTCATGGCTCCTCTATGCAAGTTTTTACCTGCTCAATAGCTTGGTCCTTAGTGGCTTGCAGATTCCCTACTGGTATTGAAAACAAATGTTTGACATTTGACTTGTGTTGATGAGTTATCAGTAGTCACGGGACTATTTTTTTTAGTTATTTTATTTTCATAGTTGTCTGGGCACTATTCTGCCAGTCCAAATGCTATTAACATAGTCTGCTTTGGATTGCACTGGGAAGCGGGAAAGCCCTTTCAGTAAGGAAAGGGCTTATAAAAAAGCCATTGCTCGGTGACAGGCAGGAGATAAAACAGGTCAGATGTTACAAAAATAGCGGCTCTTCCTCTACAGCCACAACAACTGGTTTTCTCTAAGAAAGAAATAAAAGGGAGTCTCATATGTAAGATGGATTGGGAAGACCTATTTACATTTCGTTTTCCTCCATCCCATCCAGCGGGAGTGATCTCAGGCCAGGCACCTCGCAGGGTGTCCTGTCTCCTCTGAAGGCACTGGGGATTTGCGGTGGCACCAAGCTGAGATTTCACCCTTGGGTGAAATCAGCTCACACGTTTTAAGGGCAAAAGGGGACAGGGAAACTGTGGGGCAGGAAGACGGCAAAAAGGGATAGGGGCGAAATTAGCTGTAAAGCAGAGGCCAAGGGGGCCGGCATGGGTTTCTCCTCAGGATGTTTCAGGCGTATCTGATCAGAAAGAAGAGATGCCAAAGGCGTCGAAAAGAAAACACAGTGGGGGAGTAGCACCAGCACGGGCACACGTAGTGCCCTGTTCCTGCCCACATCCTCTTGCTTTCTCCTGGCAATCAGCTTGGGGAAACGCAGTAGATTTGTCAGTCCTTCCTCGATTTATTTGTCCCCAGCTCAGGAGTAAATGTTCATTGCATTTCCCGACGTTTGCTTGCAGCATCTTTGTTTCTGATCTCTCTCTCTCTCTTCTTCCCGCCATGCCCGCTGCCCCAGCTGCACTGGCCCTGTCCCCGGGAGAGGTAAGTCTCTCTGGCTGGTTTGGCTGCCGGATAGATGCCGGGGGCCAACACTGCCTGGCCCTGGGGCCTCGGGGCCGACGGGGTGAAGGCACCTGGGCCTCTAAGCCCAGACATGCTCTGACCTCTGAATCCAACGGGCAGTCATCCCACATTTCGTGCCGGGCTGGCATGAAGAAAGGGGCTCAGAGAAGGTGCTGCAGCTCGGGCAGGCGTGAGTGTCTGTCTAAGCTTCAGGACTCAGGTTTAGCTTTGTGTCACTATTGTTGATGACTATGTTGATTTCTTATTGTTTTTTTACCTTCCTTTTAGGATGAGAGACTGGAGCTGTGGCACAGCAAGGCTTGCAAATGCGATTGCCAAGGAGGTCCTAATTCGGTGTGGTCCAGCAGGACTAACAGCTTAGAGTGCATGCCAGGTAATGGGCCAGTGCACTTTTAGCCATGTTTGGTGACCTTCAGCAGCTTCCCCTGTTGCACCCTGCATTGCAGAGGCGGCATGTTATGGTGGTACTTGTTCGAAACCCAGCCCCTGGTGGGGCCGGGGGAGCTGCACTGGTGGGAGGTGCAGAGGGACCCTGTACCTTCGGGCAGAGGGGCAGCAGCAGCGGGGGCCATGCCTGGGCCTCGGGAGGTCACCCAGGGTGGCCCAGGCTGGCTGGTGCCGGCAGGCGCTTGCCTGCCCTGTCTCTACAGAAACAGACTGGGGCAGCTACTGCTGTGTGCAGGATTTGCTGTAGGAAACCTTTTGTACAACCTAGGCTGATTCTCCCTTGCTGCAGTTAAGCCTGTGACATCTTCTCCTCTCCCCAGGGGTCAAAGAAAACAGTTTATTCTTTCTTTGCAGCATATTTTTAAACAGTAAAAGACCACAATTGTGTTTCCTTTGAGTTTTCTCTGGGCTGCCCCTGCCCAGCTCTTTCAGCCGTTCCTCACAGGTCATGTTATCGGTGCCCAGCTGATCCTCAGTTTTAGCTCATGTGTCCCACAGAAGTTGCACTCTTCTTCAGGCCCCTGTCATGCAGATGTCAGAGGTGTTCACCCCCTCTGGGGCTGGGTGCCAAAGGTGGTACCTGCCTGCCTCATGCCCACTAGCAACCACCTCTTCCCAGCTCCTGCAAGAGGCTGTGCAACAACTTGAGGTGTGTTTTGCTGCTCCCGGGTTCTCCAGGGGAGATAGACGGGGAAAACAGTCACCCCCATGCTCAGCATTTGGTATGGCTGCCCTGAAGGAGGAGGAGGTTAAATGAGTTACCCTAGAAGAGGTCTGAGTGAAAGCCAGGATGGGCTAGAAAGCAAATAAAAATGTGTATTGACAAGAAGATATGACACCATCGCTAGAGCTTGCAGGCATATGCAAACAGAAATGAGAGGAGGAATAAACCCCAGGCATTTCTATCCTATGCTTGTGTTGGACCTGAAGGTTTCCCTCCCGTGGCGTGAGGCAGCTGACAAGCGCAGAGCCTTTCCAGTCATCCTTGCTGGGCCATCTGCTTCCCCTGAGCTCTCCCTCCAAGCACCCTGCTCCTGTGGAAGCCGTGTCCACCTGGGACTCGCCCAAGCTTGAGCATTGCCCACAGGCTTCTTCCCTGCCCAGAGAAACTACAAGGAGACGATTCATCTGCCATGCATGGGTGGTGTCTCTTCCCCAGGGCAGAGTGGCCCAGACATCCCCAGTAAAGGGTCACGGCTTCTCAGGCTCTGTCCTTCCAGTTTCTGCAGCTGGTATCTCCACAGGGCTGCCTGCTGGGGCAAGTATGAAGAGGAAGGAGGCAGCCCCTGTGATGCGGAAGAATCACTTATAGGAACTCCAGAAATGTCACTTTATATCCCTTGTTCTGAGGGCTTCCTCCAGTCTCTTATGAGAGAAACCCATAAGCACTACTCCAAACATGAGTCTGAGCTGGCATGGCACTGCCCGAGCTCACCACTCCCTTTCAAAGGGCTGGCCACCACAACTCTTTTTTGCCACAGCATCATCACGAAGACCACCTGTGATGGGCAGGTCCCTGCACTCCTTGCATTCTTGTCTCAGACTCTCTCCATTCAGAAGGTGCCACCCTGCACCTGCACATCGTCCACCTGTAACTGTATCCCTTTGCATGGAGCTGCAGTAAAGCAGATTTTGGACAAATGGAGATTACTGCACACTCCAGGTCACCATGTAGGATCCCTCTGCTTCCTGCAGCCCTGGAGTCATGTGCGAGGAGCAGCACTGGCATGCTCACACGCACCGCAGAGCCTCATGGCTATGCTGAATCGCAGCTGGCCCAGCAGAGATCCCCGACCAACCCCTTGGGAAGTCCTTCTTACGGTGGCTCCCTAACGGCACCTACGCCTAGTGTGCCAGCCTTCTCCTACTGCACGTTTTCTTGCTGTTTAACCTTAACAGTGTAGAGTTCTCTGTCCGAAGCCTTGCTATAGCCTGGTACCACCCTGCTGTCGCTTGCACCAAGGAATCACAGAATCGCAGCATGGTTTGGGTTGGAAGGGACCTTTGAAGATCATCTAGTCCAACTCCCCCGCCATGAGCAAGGACATCTTTCGCTAGACCAGGTTGCTCAAAGCCCCATCCAACCTGACCTTGAACACTTCCAATGATGGGGCATCCACAACTTCTCTGGGAAACCTGCTCCGTTGGCTCACCATCCTCATCGTAAAAAACTTCTTCCTTATGTCCAATCTAAACCTACCCTCTTTCAGTTTAAAACTGTTGTGGGGAGACCTAATTCCAGCCTTCCCATATCTTCCTGGAGAGAAGCCCCTTGGAAGGGAAGGGAAGGGAAGGGAAGGGAAGGGAAGGGAAGGGAAGGGAAGGGAAGGGAAGGGAAGGAGACATGGCATATTTGGTTGATCCGTCCATGGCCGAGGGACACGTGTGTGAGAAGAGCGGCTCTAGGTTTCCTGTCCAGGCTAGGTGTGATGGGTGCTCTCACGCATTAGCATTCTGTAGCTGAGTAATGAAGGCATCTTCCTTGACCAATGAAGGCTGTTCTCCTGAATAAGGAATGTTGTCACTGTTATCTTCCAGCTGTCTCTCTCCCCAGGCAGGGGGGCTTTGCACTCTCCTCATGCAGCCCAGCCCAGCCCAGCCCAGCCCAGCCACGGCAGTGTGGACTGGCGTCCCCGCTGCCTGGGGACGGTTTGCAGAGCAGCTGTGCTGAGGTGTTGCAGAGCTGTCTCTGGCACAGCCAGAGGGGAGCAGCTGGCCTTGCAACCGCTGCACGAGTTTTCTCCAGGTTGGCGGTAATGGCGTTAAATGGCTTAGCCAGTTTGACCGGGTGGGCACCAGGCATCTGTTTTGCGGGTCCCTGCGCGTGATGCAGCCAGACGCGCCAGAAGGTGACCTGCTAATTGCATTACGGTTGTGTGGTCTGCGGATTAATGTTGCTAAAAGTAAAGTTACGTGGTGTTCAAGATAAGCCTGACGAGTAGTAAACACACAAAGCCACCCCAGCCCGGCCGCCCTCTTGCACAAGGGGAGCAAGGGTTTTTAATGCAGTGGAAAAGCATGATGTTTCCGTGCCTGGAGGAAGGCGGGATGGCGGCTATGTCTTTTCACGGGGAAAACCACGTTAATGAGCTGCCAACTGAGCAAGATATGTTAATGAGATATTGATGCATACTGTATCGACCTAGTGGAGCTTGCTAATGAGACATCGACTGTGCCGCCGCAGTGCTGGGGCGTTGCACCGGGGAGGCTGTGGTCACGCCGGGCCCTGGGCGCCTGCTGATGCTCCTCACGTCGGTCATTTTTAACACGAGGCATCATGCTGGTTGGTCAGGCATGGCTAAGGCAAGGAAACATCCTACTCATGAGTGAAGCTGCGCAGAGCTTTGCTTGCTCATTTATTGCTGAAAATCATGAAAGGAACTACACTAAACTGGAAAATGTGACAGTCACCCTTGGGGGACCACACATGCTCCACAGGCTGCAAAATTAGAAAAATGCTGCCCATGATATAGATGTTTGCCCAGGCAATTCCCATCTGACGCTTGTGAGCACCTTCTTTATTTGTATCTAGATACGTAGTGATAACCTGCTTGCATAAAAAATGAACATAACAAAAAAACCCCCAACTAGGTCCAGGTAGCATGCAGGCGCTCTGCATGGCAGCATCACCAAAGGCTTACCTTCCAGAGCACTGTGTGGTGACCCATCACAGAAAGTTTTAATGATGAACGAATATTTCTGCCCCTCGTGGTTTTGCAGCCAGTGGGAGTCTTGCTGAACTTCTTGCTATCACAGAAGACAGCTGTGGGGTCAGGTTTGGTAGCCTGAAGATCCAAAGGCAAAAACTCAGATGGAGACCCCTGAGCCTTCGGCAGGGCCAAGCATTACACCTCACTGGCACCAGAGTACCCGCAGATTTTCCACAAGACAAGACCATCTCCAGATACAAAGATAGTCCCCATAGCAGAAAATGCAGAAGATCTGAGGGTGCTTGTGGAGGGATGATCAGAGCAGGCTCAGCAATTTTGCCGTGCAGGCATAGCCATAAATCAAGACAGTGGATGGAGGAGCAGAAGGAGATAAAGTCCAGCAAGAAAAGCCATGCCAGGCATTTCTCAAGGACCAGGCAGAGGCTGACAGCCTGGAGGTTGGATCCAGGTTGATGGATCCAGTCTGGATCTGCTTCCACATGCTTGCAAGAAGGAGATTTGGACTGCAACATCTGAATAAAACCTTCCCCCCCAAATGCTGCAGGCAGCACAGGTTTGGGAAGTTTGAGAGAGAGACGAGTCAGAAATTTATACAAGAGAAGAGTTAGAAATGAAGACCCCATGGCCCCTGGGAGCAAATACTGCAGGGATTGTTGTCCAGGTTTAAGAGCATCCCCAGCATCCTGGCCAGGGAGGACAGGGAGCAGTGAAACCACAGAGGGTGTTGACAAGTGTGCAAATGCAACCAGGAAACAAAGCCAGCCGCTCGTGGCCTTATGGTAGCATGTTTTTTCCCTTGTTCTGCAGAGTGCCCCTACCACAAGCCCCTGGGCTTCGAGTCCGGCGCCGTCACCCCTGACCAGATAAGCTGCTCCAACCCCGACCAGTACACAGGCTGGTACTCCTCCTGGACAGCCAACAAGGCCCGCCTCAACGGCCAAGGCTTCGGGTGAGTCCGAAAATGCCACACTGAGGGGTCCCATGGGCAGGCGGGTGTGGGGGGCTGGGGCAACCCCAGCAGTGTGGGGGCAGGAGGGGCCGCCCGGGAGGGCAGGGCCGGAGGATATAGCGGGGTTGGCGGTGTCCCCCCAGGTGTGCGTGGCTCTCCAAGTACCAGGACAATGGGCAGTGGCTGCAGATCGACCTGAAGGAGGTGAAGGTGATCTCGGGGATCCTCACGCAAGGGCGCTGCGATGCCGACGAGTGGATGACCAAGTACAGCATGCAGTACCGCACCGATGAAAACCTCAACTGGGTTTACTACAAGGATCAGACCGGGAACAACCGGGTCAGTGGACTTTACGCTTCAGCCATTGGTGGAGCAGGGGGCACATCTGGTGACACAAAAGCATCGGGTCTTGGCAAGGAGGTGCCCCAAGAGGGGTTCCTGTGGGAGCAGCAGGGTGGATGGGGCCTGGCGCTCACCCCACATCCAGGGGCAGCATGGAGAGGGGTGTCCCCCCGCCATGGTAAGAGCAAGTGCCACGCTGACCAATTGCAGAAGGACAAAATAAATTTTTTGCTAATGATGATGGTGGAGTCTAGACTAAACTCGGCAGGATGGAGGCATTAGCTGGCATCGCAGGGGAAGTGGCACCTCCACGAAAAAACCTCTTTCTTGGCTGGGGCCGCACTATGCCAGCCGTGCCTGGGCACTGCAAAATGGGTGCTCCTTCTTTTGCTGTAAGTCCAGGGCTAGTGCAAAATTAACGATGCAGAAAATCCCCTGAGACAAAATCTGCAACTATTTAAGTCACAACCCACTGAACTGTTCGCACGCTGCACTTATTAGTGGTTGGTTTGAAGTGAAAAATTGCACAGGGGACCCTACAGTGGTGCCTGTGGTCCCCGTGCAGCCCAGGTGGGCTAGCGGATGCCATGGCTGCTGCCTCCCAGGCATCGCCAGTGTCCATCCATGGGGATGGCCCGGTCCCATCATGGGAGGCTCTGGTGGCTTTGCCAAAGCACCAGTTCCTGCAGCCCTGGGGAGATGCTGAGCTTTCCCCAAAAAAACAGGGCATGGCAGTGGGAGGCATGGCAGTGTGGCCAAGCAGTGGGGAAGGGCCCCCAAATATATTTTTTGTCTGTATCTGCGTGTCTGGGAGCCCGGCTTGTGAACTGCAAACAGCCAAGGTCAGCCACACTCACTCCAAATACATGGTGCCTTGCTGTCAGAAGGCGAATGAGAGAGAATGGGGTGAGATTAAGTCTAGCTTAACCAGAAAAAGTGGAGGAACGATGCGGGGGAAGTGACTTACTCAGAAAACCCAGTCAGTGTGACAAAAATTGTCTGCGTCTGGCTATTTTTATTTTGGGGGTGGGAGAGAGGGACCTTCCTCCTCCTCCTCCTCTGCTCTGCACAGGCACCCCAAACTCATGGGGCAGGATTTTCAGCCCCCTAACCGCCCGCCCACACCTCTCTCCTCAGGTTTTCTATGGCAACTCGGACCGCTCGTCCTCAGTGCAGAACCTGCTGCGGCCGCCCATCGTGGCCCGCTACATCCGCCTCATCCCGCTGGGCTGGCACGTGCGCATCGCCATCCGCATGGAGCTCCTTGAGTGCCTGGGCAAGTGCGGCTGAGCACCTGTCTACCCCACGCTGTCTCCGGGGGTAGATGTGTAGGTGTCCACCTGTGCAGTCACCCCGTCTCGCCACTGACGCTGGCTGTGGTGTAAATGCCCAGCCTGCAAAGGGAAGGGCTGTCTTGAATAAAACGTTGCTTTGCACCACGCCTGGTGATAAAGCTAAACCCTGCTGTGAAGCTGACGGGTGTTTATGGGGCGCACATCGGGGAAGGCAGGAGGGTTCGTTGCTGCGGCTTTGATCCTGTGAGATGTGGTGCTTCTGGCCCTGGGTGTTAGGTTGGGGAAATCATCATCACAGCATGCTGTGGAGGCCAAAGTAAATGCAGATGGGGTCCAAAGGCAGGGCTTGGACTCCCTCAGGGAGGGCAGGTCTGTGAGTGATTATTTGTCCCCGAGCCCAGGCTCCCCCCACCGCCCCACTGGGGCCCAGGGAGGGCCCTCACGCTGGGGCAGACATCTCACCCTGCTTTTCCTCATGCTCCTCCTGCCGGTCTCTGCCATCCCTGAGACAAGGTCGGGGCCAGATCTGACCAGTCCCCAGTACGACGGGCCCCGCCTGTATCTCACACTCTCAATCACCTCGTGTCCCCTTGTATCAGGTCCCCTCCAGCCTGAGCTGCTGCGGCCGGTTTTGGGGCAGCCATTGGTCCCTTGTGCACTGGGTGGCCAAACCCCCTCCGTATCCTCTCTGGTTTTGCACTGACACATCCTGAGGAGCCCAGGGCGCTTCACTCCCTGTGGGCATTTGGGCACAGGAGCAGGGACTCGCTCTCATTAACTGCCTCGATCTTCATGGCCCAATCCCTAGCGGTTGCTGAGCGCCTGAGGAATTTGGGGCATGTGGAGGCTCTGATGATGCACCCATCTCCCTGGGGCGACCGCCTGTGTGTTATGGCTCATGTCCCTGCCTCCGCCCGGGAGCTGATGCCCAGCACACCCCAGGTGGGAACTGTGGGGCCTTTTCCCTATTTTTTAACAATCCATGCATCTATCCCAAAGGGTCATGGCATTGGCACCTGAACTGTTTCAGCGGAGAGAGGAGAGGCACGAAGACAACGGCACCAAAGCAGGCCATCTGCTTCTCATGCCCTCTTCCGACCCCCATGGGGAGAGAGATGAATGCTCGGTGTGCAAGGCAGGAGATGAGATGTGGCTAAAACCAAGTAAGATGTGACCAAAAACATGAGAAAAGCCTTTGGATGTCTGTGCAATTCGTCACATTTTACTAATTCGTGAGGGCAGATGTTCCTGCCTTGCTTTTTCCTGTATATAGAGACAAATAATAACTGTCAGGAAAATATGCTGTTCTGACGAGTCTGAAAGTTTCTGCTCCGCTATACCAACAGTATCAAGTCTACAGAGCTGTAGAAAAGACCAATCTCCATCTGCTGAAATGATTGTTATTACGTCACCATCACTCCCTTGCTTCCCCCCACACCCCAAATGAGTTTTGCCTATCCACAAATGGGTGTAGGGACACGTTTTCTTAATAAGAAAGCAGTGAATCTGCGTGGTTCTCTAATGATTATCAGTCCATCTCTACTGAGAAGGTCCACTGAGCTCGAGGCAAGTCCTCCGTGCAGCCGAGCTGTGGGACCAGCCTCCCTGGAGGCACTGCACATGCGGTAACAGGGAGACAAGGGCTCTCCACCAGCTGTCATAGCTCTGGTGTTAGTAACACCAACACTGAGAGCTGAAGCGTTTCCAGTCCCTGGACACAGTTGCCATCATGTTAACACCCAGTTCTCCCTTCCCTAAAAGCAGCACGGGCAGCTCTGCTCCATGTCCTGGTGGACGGTGACTAGGGGGGAGGAGGCTTGGGGCTGCTGTTTTGTTGCATGACTGAGGAGTGGTGGGGTGGGGTTGGAGGGGTGAAGGGATGGACTGGGCACCAGCCGATGAGTATTTGTGGCATCCCGAAGCAGTTAAGCTTGACTGTAACCACCCAAAGCCTCGGCTGCGACTGGCCTCTGAGCTCCCACGCACAGTCCAGGGGTTTGCAAGTTGTCTGGTTTTGGAAATGCGCCCTGTGGCAAGGGCCAAGAGTTCCTGCGTAATTTGGAAGAGCTCGCGAGCTTGATCCACAGCCTGAATGGATGGGCCACATGCCATTATACACCGAGGCACCACACTAAATTATGTATCTTCACATGACCGATCTGAGATATAGGATATAATAAAACCTTGGAGGGAGAAAAGACTGTCCAGGTAGAAAGGACCTGTGCTATCACTGTTCCAGCCTCCCAGCTTCAAAGAAGTCACTAGACCCTTTTTCCAGATTGAAGCGTACAGCAATAAATAAGGTGGAACTAACTGGCATACACCGAACTTCACAGTGCATTTGCTTCTTGCCTCTCCCTGTCTTTTGCCTGCAGTTCACCTCTCCAGCGTGCATGGGGAAAGGATGTACTTCTGGCTTTGATCCGCAATGTCAAAAGCAGGAGTTTCTGTTCTGATCCCAGCTATGCAGCTTGTTTGCTAATCGACTTTTGGAAATTCACTTAACCTCTGCCTCTTATCTAAAAAGAAGGGTGCTGAGAGGCTTAATTAGTTAAGTGGTCCTAAAATGCGTTTAGAATTGCACTTGACCTCTACCTCTGCATAAATGCAGAGTGTTGGAGTAACAGTGTGACTGAGGGCGTTATGAAAGCAGGATAGAACCAGCCAAAATACAATTACAAAAATACAAAGCTTTTCCTCATAAAGTCTAACTTCTCCTAGCATATCACTGTCATTTTAATTTACCGGCACAGATGCCTCCAATCACAATTAACCAGAATCAGAGCCAGCAACTGAGGCTGCAGGAGATGATGCAAAGCAGTGCTGAACACGCATTTATCTTCTAGGAGTGAAAATCCTGCAGGTCTTTACCTGCAGAGGTAGGGAGACCAGCGCATGACTTTGCAAAGGCAACAGGTTTGAAATAAAAGGCAAGACCAAGGGCTGCCTTCAGCTTCGTGACCTCAATTTTTAGTCTGGCATGCTCAAAGAGAGAAGTGAGGAACAGTGCTGAGAAGTCAGGAACTGTGCTGAGAAGTCAAGCTTGCCCCATCTAAACTGTGTGATAAGAGACTGCCTCAGGCCTCCAGACCAGCCACACCACTGTAAGTCAGTAGGCCCTTTCTCTTAATGGGTACCTGCAGGAATTATCCCTTTACAGCTGTCTCAGAGAAAAATGCCCACACCCACTCTGCTCCCCATCCCATGGGGGACCGATGCTGGCTACACTGGGGCTACCACGGTGAGGTGCTCGACCTCTTCAAGGAGGCGGCCACTTCATTTTCTGGAGCCCTGCAGGGAGTACAGAAAAGGGCACCGAGTGCCTGGGGTCACTACAACGAGGTCCTTGACAGAGTAAGAGCAAAGTGAGGTTGTGTTGTAGGAGTAAAGCCACGTCCCCGGAGAGCTAGGCGCCTCAAGGAAACGGGCGTTTCAAACGCATTTCTGGCTGGGACTGGGGAAATGCTGGACCGCTTGTCCTGGTGGAAGTTGAAGCCACTAGCTCAGGCCAGCAGTTCCTCTGTTTGGGAGGTGATGGGCGCAGCTCAGTGAAGGCACCAGCCTGGTCGCACAGCAGCTGTGGCTGCGGCACACCCCACCAGGCAGCTGTTTCGGAAGGGTCTGATCAGACTGCGAGTCCTGGCTTTCAGCAAGTCTGCTGCTGGGGCGCAGAGGGAAGGAAGGGAGGCCAAGGTAGAGTGGTCCCTACTCCTCAGTTTGTTTCCAATGACCCTGAAGAATGAGGGACCAGCAGAGAAATATTTAAAGATTTTTAAAACCGCACACAATAACAAAAGAAGTCGTGGCCAGGACACGTTAAAGAGGAACCCATCAAAAACCATCGCTGACACCTGAACGTTTGCCTAGAAAAGTCTCAGCTTACGTGTGGCAATGCTGAAATGCCAACGTGCTACCCAAATGGTGGATCCCCTTCTACAGCAAAGACGATTTAAGGGCTGGGAACTTTCAGGGCCTTTTAATTTCTGGGTAGTGCCCGCTGAGGGGATTGGTGGGCTGACGCTGTTCAAAAGAGAGAATAGCAGAGATTCTTGCCCTGGAAGGAAGAACCCCCCCAGTGCCTGCGATGAGACTACAGGACTGGTGGGCAACAAAGTGCTTCAGAGCTGTTTTGTCTCTGCTCCTGTGGAAACGCCAGGCTGGCGGACAGGTACAAGCCAGCTTTTCAGATGGGGAGTTAGCCGGGACCTGGCAGCGACCTGTCGGGCGGAGGAGTCCTGGTGCGGTTCTGGCCCGTTCCGCTCCTCTAAGCCACGCTAACGTATGGGGAGGCGCTCTGGAGGAGATGTCTCAGGAATAAGGTCAGCTGTTGAGCAATGCCAGTGTTCTAGTGCAAAATCTGCATTTTTATTAAAGACATATTTTGGAAGGCCCATTCAAAAATACATTGTGCTCAGTAAAAATTAACCATTTCCATGCTGATAATTAAGGTTACCACAGGATTTTTTTTTTCTTCTCTTTTAGAATATTACAGCAACAATAGAAATTTTACAGAAGTTAAGAATGGAAATACATGCCCAAAAAAAATTTGGTAAGGTGTACCAACAACATGATACAAAGGGTTGTATACAAACACTTTACAAATGGTTTATTAACTTGCATGAAGTCATCCTTAAATATTCAACACATTTTAAAATCAATTTGTATTCCAGGATTAAAAAGGTTAACACCACATCACATCCCTTCCACAACAGAAAGCATGGTAGATTTGAAAGTTTGTGCGCTTTAGACTTCTAATAGCTGTAAAAAACATCGGGGAACCTTATCCGTAAATTTAGAAGTTTTGAAAGCTACCTCCCCAGCCTGTTATTTTTGGATAGTCTGTACTGGCAGATTGTGAAAAAAGATCACTTTTTCTAAACCTCGTTCTTCCTTCCTTCTCCCAAATGACACAAATTCAGAATTCAGCATTTGACAGTGGAGATCTAAGCAGTCCTGGAAGTCCTTAGCAGATTAACCAGATTTTAAAATGCCTGC